AAGACAGTCCAGATTTTAGGATTTGCGGATGATTTGGATCTTGCGGGAAGGACTCTAAACGCCATAAGAGGAGATTTTAAAGCATTAGAGGAGTCTGCAGCAAGACTGGGCCTAATGGTGAATGTTGAAAAAACGAAATATATGTGCACCTTACCTACCCACGAAAATGGTGGGAGTCATGTCTCGATAGGTTACCATAGATTTGAAAGAGTGGAATCATTCATATATCTGGGATCCCAGATCAACCGTAATAACTGCATTGAAGAAAAATTCCAAGGAGGGATCCTCTCCGCAAACCGCACCTATTTCTGCCTCCATAAACTCTTGAGAAGTAGTGTGTAGTCGAAGGCCTTGGAAATGAGAATTTATAAGACAATCATACGACCATTTCTTACATATGGCTCAGAATGTTGGACTACAACTAAAGCCCTTGAGCATCTCTTTCTCCGTTTTGGAGAAGAAGAACGAATGCTGAGTTAAGAGCGAGGTACAAGGAAATAGATATATCAACATTCGTAAGGGTATCAAAACTTTGCTGGGCTGGTCACATCATAAGGATGGATCCAAACGAAGTTCCTTACAAGATTTTAGATGGGCAAATGTATGGTATCAGGGGAGTCAGACACCCCAGGCTTCACTGGGAAGACTGCGTGGCTGCAGACGCGAGATCTCTGCTCGGTGTTCTGAACTGGAAGGCGGCAGCACGGAACATGGAGGACTAGCGGTCTAAGCTTGAGCAGGCTATGACTCAACTAGTGGGTCCTAACGCTGAATAAGAAAGAAGATTGATAAACAGAAATGTGTAAAAAATACTCATCATTATTCCATTTTTTATTTTGGTTCAATTGACTAAAAAATTAACAGAGTTACAGGCATTTCCCCTAAACATGTTTTCCCCTAAAGAAAATTAAAAACCGTTAGCCTAAAAATTTTTTAAACTATGGTTTTGAGTTTTCAAATAAATATGGAATAACTGGTAAAAAAAAATTTAAAAATCAAAAATTTAAAAAATCAAACTTGACTCTTATTATCCTTACTTCAGAAACATCAGAATCTCAGGTTATAGCACCAAAATAGTATGAAGTAATAAACATCACAATGCATTTCAGGAGTGGAGGGAATTAGAATGTTTAATAACAGCCTTAGCTCAAAGTCTAATATAAATATATATCAATTATCACATTTACAATATTTTACAATATAACATATAAGTTGCTATTAAATAGATTATAAACTTATATTGGTCCTCTCACTCTATATGTTTCACAATTATTGAAGTTACAGCAACAAAACCTATATTATAATTTTTTAAAATAAAAATCTTTTTAAGCCAAAATGATTAACAATTTATTTTCATCTATTCAAATAAATGGATAAGACCATGGGAGGTTGAAAAGATACATCAAATTAGCTAACTTGAAAGTTTCAAAGAATACTAATTTATCTTTTAATAGGGCAATACTAACTAGGTTCTTATGTTATACTGCACTTTTTTTGATAATAATAGCTGAACTAACCCTACCCCGAAGTAATCTGTTTTTTTCTCCCCCCCTAATTTATGCCTAATTCATTTCCTTATAAGATCTTTCACAATACGACGAAAAAAAAAAAATCCATTTGCCAGGTTGTATATTTAAATATTCCATCATCAGCATTGAGATAAATCATGTGGGAAAAGTTGTTAAGACAATTGACTGTTTAAACTTTGCTTTTGAAATAATTACTCATCCATAGTAATTATTTCAAAAGTAAAGTTTTTCTATGAATAATTCTTATATAATGATGGATTGCATTTTTTCTTCCATTCATTTATGGTTATTAATTAATTTTGAATTATTTGTTTTAATAAGAGCTATGGCAGGATTTCTATCTTTGACCCTTGTACAAATATATAAGAAATACAAAATACATCTTTTATTTGTAAAATTTTAAACTTAAAAGTAGCAATTTAAACTAACTCATTAATTAAAATAAAATATATACACTACTAAGCAATATCCAGAAGACAAAATAATATAATTTGTTAAATAAAAACCTTTTTAAGCTAAAATGATTAATAATTTATTTTCATCAATTCAAATAAATGGATAAGACTATGGGAGGTTGACAAAGTACAGCAATGATTTAAAAAAATGATCAATTTACTGAGATAAATCACGATATTATTCCTCTTATGACTTCTGAAATACCATAAAGTAACGAGTGAACTAAAGCTGAAAATATACAATGAAATCATAATATTTCTCCTGTTAATTGGGTAATCAAAAGTCTGTGGCAGGCACACAAGAAAGAAGGATCAATAAATTTGAAAGAAAAGTCATCATGATAACAGAAAAAACCTGAGACCTCAGCATAAGAATATAGAAGAGAAATAATAAAAAGAAATTACATAAAAAAGCTTACATAAAAATTACATAAAAACAGTTGACAGATCAAGATATCAAAGCTAGGAGGTTGAGGTGGGGCATGTACTTCATTCAAGCTTAATTGTCATTATAAAGGATTTTAAGCACCAGGTTACAATACAACAGTTAGATGAATAAAGTATATTGTCAATTAGGAATAGATTTTATAGCTGGCTAACAAAAATTACAAGTTTGAATGAGAACTAATGTGCTGAAAGATGCACCTGCCATTTTATAGAAGAAATCTTTACGCAATGGTAAAAAACGGAAATAATACAATTTTACAACAATACAAAATTTAGCATTGACGTACTTCATTTATACATTTTTTTGTTTAAATACTGTTTTTTTATTTCTGCTAAGGCTAACTGTCTAAATAAAGACTGATGAATAATAAAGAAGTATGTCAAAAATATCTGCTTCTTATCTTCATATGTAATCATCACTAAAATAAATCAAACAAACCATAGTGCACGATAAACATATCATTACATTTTAAAAGTGCAGAAATAACAGCTTTTAAGACATGGAATTCAACTTGACCAATAAACCTGATAGAGACACCAAAAACAAGGGCCAGTTATGATGATTGAAATAATGACCCTCTTTGATATGAGAAATGATTTGGCAACATAAATTAAGCTGTAACTAAATTTTTTCCTATTTTACTGCATTGTTGGAAGATATTAACACAATCATTTGGTCTGGAACCAGTGCCAGCATTAACGCAAGGCAACCCGGGTACACGCCTAGGGGCACCAGCCTAGAAGGACACCCTTTGGAAATTATAAAAAAATATATTACAAAGCGTACTGGGTAAATTAATTTATTCTATTAATAAAGTAATTGATTTAGAGACATACTGAATGAAATTTAATTCAAATATTATATAATATAAAACAGCTTAAGAAATAGCCTTATATGTTGGCACTGGCTGGGTCATAAAGATTCTAAAGAATGCACTTTGTGGCAAACACCAGAAAAATGTTTTATTAGCATCACTTATTAGAAGTGGCATAGCAAAGCAGTAATGCAACAAAAGGTTAGACAAAGGCTTTTCAATTATGTGATTAATAGCAGAACAGTGAGACTTTCAGTATATTTTTCAATTAATGAATAAATTAAATTTTAATCTAAATAAAAATATGTTTTAACTAATTGTTGAGAGTTATGAAAAGTCTGAGAGCTGAGGAGTGTATATCTCATGGATTGCTAATAACCTGTCAATAAAGTAAATTTGTTAATAATAGTTAAATGTATATACTGTACAAAAAAATTTACAGTTGTAATATTCAGTTTGATTGATTCCGAGATTGACTTACAAGGATACAGTCTATGGGTCACCGATTTCAACCAAATTTTTTTTGGTGATACTACATCAAAAAATATTATACATGTGTCCTGGAATTCTTTCCAATCTATCCTAGGAGCCGATAAAAAAAATATTTTATGTAATTTAAAACAAAATTTAAGTTACTTATTTTTGCTTTTGCTCTGCCCGGACTTTTAGGTTACTATGTATCAATTGTTTTATTTTTTTGTGCAGAAAAAGAAAAAAATATTGACTATTGTATTAAATTAGTTATAATGTATCATAAATTATAAAAACCAAAAGGTGCTTCTAGTAAAACAGGCGAAATAAATTTTTATTATGAAATAGCAAGTTAGATTCGTTTTTAGCATCCATCGAAACACTTAGATATGATTTTTTATAGAAATAAAAAATTCAAAATTTAATACTTGATTTTCTTAGAGTATTTTTTTTTTCCTGGCCAATATTTATTATTATTATTTTATTTTCTTCTTTCCTTGCCTCTTGACAATAAAGATTTTTGGCAGAACTAGTGTGATATGTCTATAACTCATATTCTGGTTTTTCGGACTTCATTAGTGAAGGTTGAAGTGATCATCCCCCACTAATTCCTTCCACCTGTACACGAATGCTTCATAGTACGGGTAGTTATCCTTACTTACTAGCTGAGTGAAATTGTCCTCTGTGATGATGTAGAGTCCAGCTTCGCTCAGTAGTTTGGCTGCCGATAACTAAAGCATTCATAACTTTTCAGAATTTTCTTCAAATTCAACTTTACTATAATCGTTGGAAATCTAAATTAATGTTCTTCCAACTGACAACGATAACTTTTGAATTTTTTTCAAGCTAGAAATTAAAAAAAAAATCAAATCCATTTTAATTTTATATCTTTAGTTTTAATTTGTTTATGAAGGTCCGGGTTTATACCATTTTGAGTAGCACACAAAAGCATAAATTTATATCAATTTTCATGTGGATTGGTGAAGCCGTTCTAAAGTTATCACAAGTTTTGAGGTTGTTGACAAAATTTTGGGGTCAAGGGGTTGAGTACTACCTCTGCTAGGGTTGAGCTAGACACTGGTCCTCCACCAATGCCAGAGGCACCAGCCGAGTGATCTGTGAAGCATTGGTGGAGATCTGTATGAAGCTAGTACCCAAGATCGTCTGTGCGTGGTGAAAAACCACATCCTGCTCGAGGTGATTCTGCTTTCGACAACCTTAATTTGGATCTAGACTGGGAAGTCGATAAATATCCCTGGTGTGAGGCAGCAGGAGCACCAATACTAGCATGGAGAAAAAGACAGAGTTGGCTGGGTCCATGATTGGATATCATCAGGCTGAGCTGGAGACTGGCAGAACAGCTGATGTACTGTGAAGGGGCAGGTGGAGCTCAAAGCCATGGTGAAGGCAATCCACCTTGGGTCCCTGTTTCCGTTATAAAGAGGACCCTGTTGTCCCAAGGTAAAGGGGCCTTTGGGGCTTGGACCAATCATCCACCTAGAGTATAACTGATTCAAAGACGATCAAATAGCTTCGGAACTGAACAGTCTACTGGTAACAGAAACGGCATGAATAAGGAAATTCGAGTTAGTATATGGAAAATCAAGACCCAGTCTGGTAAAGAGATCAAACTTGTTGGAGAAATCAAGAAGTATAAAGTGGACATTATAGGTCTCAGTGAAACTAAGAAAAAGGGCAGTGGAATTACAAGGCTGACTAATGGATTTACAGTGATCTATTCTGGAGTGAAAATGAGACAGAGGACCAAAGATGGAATGGCATTTGCTATGAAAGATGAACTGTTTGACAGGATGAAAAGCTGGGAAGTTGTGTCACCACGCATCTTATTAGCCAACATCCAACTTGCTTAAAACAGTATTTTTGCTAGTTCTTTGGTATGGTGCAGAGAGTCCTGGACAAATATGCAAGCAAAGTAACGACCATAGAAATAAGATACCTTAGGAGAGTTTTTAGAAAAACAAGAAGAGGCCACTGGAGGAATGAGAGAATAAGAGAAGTGAATATAAGGCCTGTAAAACAAGTAATAGAGGAGCGCCAACTGAAGTGGTTTGGCCATGTGTACCAGGTAGATGATAACCGAAAGGCAAAATGGTTCCTAGAAGCAAAACCAGAGGAAAGATGACCTAGAGGCAGGCCCAGGCTGTTGTACTGTGACTACATGGAGAGACTCGGACGAGCCAGAGGCAGCACCATGGTGGATTGAGAAGGAGGGCCAGTGACAGGGATCAGCTGACAAGGTGGGCTGCGGCTGTTCCTCCATGGTGATGGCACTAAGGAGGTGGCAAAAGAAGAACAAGACAAAATTTCGAAGGCTCTAGCCTAGGCAAAAATTGACTACAAAACTACAACAAAAACTACAAAACTTGAAATAAATTTAAAACCACCAATCACTACAAAAATTAAATGGGATTTAAAGATCTATATGCTACATGAAATGATACAAAATCTACTTCTGTAAAGAAATTAGAATCAAAGATAAAAAATAAAAATGATTGGAAAGTTTTTCTTAATTTCTAATTTAAAAAGGAATGAATTCTAAAATTTATCAATCTGGGCTGGAAGGGTAGTAATTCAGCTTTCCAGTGGTTATATTAAAGTTGAATTTGTAGAAAATTTTGATAAGTTAAGAATGCTTTAATTATCGACCAGAAAAAAAAAATCCTCTAAGAAAATCAAGAATTAAATTTTTGATTTCTATAAAAAAAATGGAATTTAAGAGTTTCAAAGGACACTAGAAACCTATCTAAATTGTTTTTTTTATAACAAACATTTTTTTTTGCCTTCTTTACTGGAAGCACCTTTAGGTTTTTTTAATTTATGATACATTATAACTCATTTAATACAATAGTCAATATTTTGTTCTTTTTCTGCATAAAAAAATAAAACGATTGATATATAGTAACTTAAAAATCCAGGCAGAACAAAGACAAAAATAATATAAATTTTGTTTTAAATTATATAAAAAATTTTTTTTTATCGACTTTTAGAACTGTATCCTCTCCTTATTAGAGATAATTTATTTAATGGTATCCCCTGTCATTTAAACTGAAGCAGATATAAAAGATGATTTTTAAAATGTTCGTGTGACAATCAAATGTTCACTTTCAACTGTTGATATGCCAGCTACACAAGTCAAATCTCTATTTAAAATATCAATGGTGTCTATGATGAATTTTTATTGACATATATAAAAAATGTTATTTTATTGACAAGTGGTTAGAAACCACTTTCTCAAAACATTGCTTAGCTCTCATTCTAAAAGAGTTACTTAAAAAAACTGATAAATCAGGAGAATAACAAAATATCTTTCTTTATGCCTTATTACAAAAATACAACATATAGCTGTTCTTATCTGATTTCCAGTGATATAAAATATATAATTTAAGAACTTATTATCTTTTATTAAAAACTGAAAAGCTTTTAGACAAAAAGAAATGTAGTACAGGTTCATTTTTTTTTTTTTTAATCACAAGTAGCTATATTTTTAAATTAATTATTATGTACTTTAAGTCTCATTGTTGGTAGTGAGTTGTAAACTACTTTGTTGTTATTTAAAATGATCATTAAAAGGCTCATACATCATTGAAATTACTTAATAATAATATTACACTAACAAAAAATTACCATGATGATCAGGAGAGTAGTCACATAAACCCAAAGGAGATGCTGATTGCAAATGATCTTCAATTTGTAAACTAATGTCTTTCAATAATCCATCTGATTCTGCATCACAGAAAGGTAATAAACCACTCGTTACATGCAATTCACAATTTTCATTTCTACTATCATTGCTTGATAAACTGCTACTGATCTTTTTCTTCTGTGAGATGTAACTACCGTGTGGATCAGTGATTATTTTATCAGTATTTTTTCTCTGTAAAGGGGATTGACTCATTCTTTCTTTCCAGAGCAAAAGACGTTCTAATGGTTTATCTCTCTAAAATACAATTATTAACAACTGAATATAACCTCTCATTAAGTTCTTTCTTGACTTAACTAAAAATAATTGTGTATATATGAATAATCTATACATACCATATGCTGTTTATTAATGGGAGACAAATTTGATACAGGATTTTCCAAGTCTCTACTTGAGCCTGGTGTCTCGTGAACTTTATGATCACTTGTCTGCAGTTTGAACTCATTTGTTGGTGTAACTGGACTCGTTGCTCTAAATAAACGAGCACTTGCTGACCGAAAGAAGGGTTTGTCATTGTTGTCCAATACATGTTGTGATCTGGTAAAATAAAAATGATGTAAATAATAAAATTTATGATATTAGTTTGCAAAATTCATCAGATTTTTTATGTTCTAGAACCAATAAGCCTATTGTAGGAATGTATTTCAATCAGTTCAATGAGAGTATTAGGTGAGAATATTTATCTGATTTTTTAAATCCAGGAATAATATATTCCCTAATCTATGAATTAATCACCACAAAAATTTATATAATTATAAAGTATATTTATTCATCCTCTATAAATTATTAAGAGTGGTTCAACAACTACAAAATATTAAAAACCTCATTGGAATTTGAAAGCCAAGCAATTAAGCTAACCCAAAACAGCACTGTACCAACAAGGCTTGCATGGAAAAACTGACAATTCAGGGACTCAAAAAGCCGTGTTCATTCAAGCAATAGGTTTGACAACTTTAACTAATGAGGCAGGTAAAAATCGTTTGGAAGTCGAAACAAGAACTCTGTTCATTCATGCTCAGCAAGTTCTTGTCTCGATTCCCAAACGATAGTCCTGATGACGACCCACATGTTTGAGTCAAAATGTCGGCTAACCCAATAAGAATATCGACTGAAATTCCTGACAATTGTTTTCATTTTTCTAGAAGATATTGATTTTTCGATTAATTTTTTCATTGGAAGATTACAGATTTGTCTCACAGGTTACCATGAATAACTGAAATCTTCTTCCGTATTATCTTTACAATATATTCACTGATTTCAAAAAAGTATTAAATTATTCAGTACCTACTTAAGATATAGATTGCATTGAAAATGTGTTGATGTTAAACTTCAATTCTTAAAATATAGACACACAAGCCATTGTTTTTTTATCTTGCTAAGTATTTAATATACTAAGTACATAAATATATTAAGTAGATGTAGATAATCTAATATTTCAAACCTGTATAGAGTACTAGAAGATTTTTCTGACTTCATAACAAGTTCATTTTTTATTCCAGATGGTTCGGAAGTATATATTGTATTTTTAGGAGTAAAACTTTTATTTACTAAAAGCGTCTCAGTTCTTAATGGTAATGAAGATTTTGTAACTGGTTTCACATACATAGAGGACTGTCTCATTTTTCTAGCATATTCTTCAGCTGACCAATGAGTTCCTTCTTCTTCATTGGAGTTAATGGCACTTAAACTAGATTTTGGTCTATAAGGTATTGATGGTTTTTCAGCAATATCTGAACCCACTGCACTGGAACTATTTTTACTATGGTATTCTAAAAAATCAACACTATGTGGCCTGGAGTGACTATTTATTGAAGAATGTTTTGGTGTGTATGATATAATTTGTTCTTTAGAAAAGTTAGAAATAATATTTTGTTCATCTTGAATATACAAATTGTTAAGATTCACAGGTTTAGTTACAGGATGGACAAAACTTGCCCTTCCATAAATATCAGGGGTTCTTCTTTCATAATTTGCATGTTGAGGTTGCATTGTGAAATTCTGTGGTCCAGATAAGCTGGATTGGATATGGTATGGTTGACCTAGATAAGTGTGGTAATTGTCATCTCTAATTTGAATTTCAATTGAACATTCAGGAGATGAAGACTCATTAAGCCGTTTAGGTTTTGGTGGAGCATTCACATAAACAGGTTGAGCTTCTGATGTTTTCTGGTTTCCCGAAAGCATATCATTATTTGATGTAGATTGAGATTCTTCAAAAATTTTGTTGGATTGATGAAATATTCTCATATCTGATGATTTTTTTCGATCATCACTGTAAAAAAAAAATTAAAATGAATCAAAGAATAATAGAAAAAGGAGTAATGAGGAGATGAAAATCAGCAGTAATATTATATTATACACATATTATTTTTAAAACTTTATTTGACTAACTAAAATTAAGAAAATCCTGATAAAAACTTTTAGCACTCATATGAGAAATATTATGCACCACTGATCCAGATAATGTTCAATTGAATTTAATATCTTTAGTAATTATGAGTGAATATTGTTTGTGCTGAATTTGATATTGATTGTTTTGACTTTGACTCAGTCAATTAGTCAGTAGCTTTGAACCTACCAAGAAAAGAATCTTGGTTTCGGCCCAAAATCATGAACAAAAGTGAATTAATCAATTATTGAGAAATTAAACTATTAAAGTAAGAAATAACAAAGCAATTGAAAATGGATAAACATATTTTTTTTGTTTATTAATAAAATAGAGTTCTGTATTAGTAGTATATTTTATAGTCAAATAAATTTTTAAATCTTTGTACAAACAGAATATTTTTTTATATCTCAATTAGCTATTAATGGTGAGATTTCTACCCCTCCATTATTAACCCTTCCTAACACATATTAAGATTTCACTTTTGCGCTAAATATAAAGTATCTAAATCTGTATCTGTATTTATTTTTGTTTATGATAAAAAAATGACCATCGAACCTGTAATTTCCTTCGAGAAGAGATGCACATTTTAAAGCTTTCATCCATTCTTCCATATGCAGCTGATTTTCAGCAGCAAAATAAAATGTTTTCATATTAGCATGCTCTGCTTTAAAACTAAACTTTTTGAAACCTTTTTCTTCAGGATTACATGCTGATATTTCATAAGAAGCAAGGATTAGTGAACCAAGTAATTTTTCTTCTGACTGGTCTGTAATAAAGAAAATATAATTCAGAAAAATGATATTTGTTCATTGTATGAAAACATTGGGATTGTAGTTCTGAAGAATGGAGTAAATATCCTGAAACGTTAACATGTAATTTGTAAATACAACAAATACAACAATTGTTGTTTAATTGGAAGTCATTATTGCCAAAAACAAAGAATAACATCCAACTTCCCAGAAAAAAGAAAAAATATGATATTTGTTATAGATGTTACTTGAGTAACAACAGGAGTGCCCAGAAGGAGGTTGCATAGTGCAAGTTGCACCTTCACAATTTTGAGGGACAGACAAGTGTAATTGAATATAACCAACATTTTATCTAATTACGTTTTTAAGCATTGTTTTTAAGAATAGGAGAGCAATAATTTCTTTTGTTAGAGAGGGTAAGTGCCATCAACCTTGAGGAGCTGGGCACCCCTGAGCAACAATGGTGGCCAGCATAACTGTGTTACTTGAATGCTAAGGTTCACTGGCGGATCTATGGGAGGGATGGGGGTTTTTGGGCTGAAGCCCTCTCAAAATAGAAAAATAATTTATCTTTCATTGGTCCATGTTTGTTTAAGTTATTGATTTAATCTAAATACATGAAAAAATCACAATATATTCTCTTTTTATGTTCTCTTTTAAATTAATTATAAGCATTTATTTAATTTTTTTTTTGAGGCCTCCAAGGACCATTTAAACAATATTTCATATGCATAATATCTTTCTTTCTCTTCCAGAGTAATTACCATAATAAAAAAAAAAAACCCAGATCCTAAAATTAAATTCTGGATCCACTACTGACCACAGGTATTTATCATGTATAACATATCTACAATAAATCCAGTATTCTTTTTTTAAAGACTGTATGGGGGCAACATACCAATATAATAATTACCAAAAATATTTTGTCTAAATTGGTGACTCACTGACTGTGACCTTCCCTTTTCTGATTCATATTTTCTGAAAAAAAAAGAACCTCACTACACAAAATATTTAAATATAGAGTTTAATTTGCTACAATAATTTAAATTCTGAAGAAGAAAAATAAAAAAGAAGTTTTTTTGTTTTTAAAGTTTACTTATTTAACAAGCCCACAATTGATATTTCTTCAAACGAACTCTCAATGATGATATGTCCCAAGAAGTAGCGAAACTAGGATTTACTATCTGGCGGACTTCATTTTATATATGCATATAAAGGTAAAATACTACAAGAAAGTACAGTACTTTTACCAATATTTATTTTGTTATGATGAAAGATAGATAGATACTGTGAAGAAATTTGTTTAAAATATAAATTTAATTCCATATAAAAATCAAATAATTTAATTTTAACTTTGAAAAGTTATTTTCTTTAGGACACCTGGGGGGTACTTCAGCCCCAAATCCACCTTTTATTAAACCAGTGACACCATGGAAAATACATGTTCTTCATGGAGAACTAATGAATATTAAAACAAGATACTAAAGAGTAAGCTGTCAAAATAACAAGCCATGGCCTCCACTTGAATGAATATCAAGTGAAAGACAAAGACAAAATATATTGTGAGTAAAACATAGAAATATTCTAGTCCGTGGTACAGACCTCTTTTTATCGAATTATTAACATCCGCCTGAAACTTCGTAAATAGCATCATCTCGTCGTAACCTACAACTATTTTATTTACGAAAACTCTTGGAATTTGGGCGTTTTCAATCTGGTGATCGGCAAACTTTGTCTATTTAATTAGGTACTAAAAACTTGTAAATACCCATTTGCTTTCCACTTCGATCTTAAAATAATTTGATCATATAATCGAGAAAAAAGGTGGCTTACAAAAATATTGGGTCGTTTCGCCTATATAACCTTGTTATTTTGAAATGTTGGGGGTGTAGGTCACGCCAAACGGTCCAATATTTTTGTGAACCATCTTTTAACTCGATCACATTATATTACGATTCAAGTAGAAAGCAAATGAGTATTTAAGAATTTTTAGTACTTACCATAAATAGACAAAGTTTGCCCGATCATCAGATTGAAAACTCCCCAATTACTAGAGATTTCGTAAATTAAATGGCTGTAGGTTACGATGAGATGAAGCTATTCACGAAGTTTCAGGCGGATGTTAATAAATCGATAAAAAGGGGTGTGTACCACGGACTATTCCTTGTATGTAGAAAAAAGTTTAAAATTTCAGGAAAAATTGTAGGATTATAAAAAAATGTATTATAAATTAAAGCCCATTAGTGTTTAAACTTCTTTAAATTGTAAGATACGCTGTTTCAATTTAAAGCGTTAGTAAATGGGAGTGGTATTATTTATTTACCTTTGTAATAAAATAAACAATAATCCGAAAGAACACACCATCTCTTTTTCCAAAGCATTAATCCCTCACTTCCTCTTTTCAGTAGCCAACTCTGTAAAGTGACTGGTTGGTTTTGAATTCGTTTTACAATAGGTGATTCAATTAATGAATGAGATCTTCTACTGGATGATTTTTGGGAGCTCTGAAAGAAAATTAAAACAGCATAACACAAATGTTAAATAAAAAAAAGCTTACGTACAATTTACTTTAATAAATATCTTCAAGGAAAGTTATAGATTATTTTAATCAATATAATATTTTTTAATAATAATAACACATTATTTAATCACATGTGATGTCGAGTTAACACTTGATATCGATTGTTGATAAAATAAAATAAAATCTGATCGATTGTGATTTACATACCTGCCTCCCAGAGACACAGTCGCGACAATGTTTCTTAAAGATAAAATTTAGAAAAAATTCTCTCCAAGTACAGAGACGGAAACTTCACTGAACGGCCAATACGTGTGTTTGGTATGGGTGGTTTTCTGGAATGGTTAATCTCTTCAGGAGTAGCAGTTTGTGCAGAACGACAATCTGGTTCTGTTGCACAAAGGTCAGGTTCCTCAGGTGATGCCAAATGATAAACCGGCTTTAGGTTATCATGTGTTTGTTTAACTGATATCATATAACATAACTGATATGTTTGTTTCCTCGCTCTTCAATTGCATTGTGAAACAGATCTGGTAATCACTTTGGTGGGACCTTCAAAAGCTGCTTCCAAGGGTTTCTTCATTCAGTAGATTCTTACTAATACAGGAGAGCTATCAGCTTGTGAATGAAGAATGACTTGTTGGACCTGTGGTGTCCATCCCCCTCCAAGGTCGATGGCGCATACCCTCCCCTCTTCTCCCAAGAAATTTTACTGATGTCCTTTTGTTAAAAAAACATTGCAAGCCAAACAATTCCATATCATATGTACTGTAATTTCTTTCTGCAGTTATAGTATTATAGTATAATATAAGTATGTAACATTATATATCTATTACAGATCTAAAAGACTTTTTTGGAGGCGTAATAATCTAGCAATTTATTGCCCTAAATAACCTACCTACCTCTAAAGGACTTTTTTATTTAAACAAATGTGTTCTAAAAACGTTCTAACTACATATATTTTCTTTGCTAACTCTTATTTAAATCGAGTTCTTTATTAATTGGTTTTTATATTTGACCCTGATCCGCGGCCCTACTGAAGTCCCCCTTGAGGATTATTACAATTATAAAGCTTATTAATAAATCAACTGAATTAGAGCTATATTAAATGAAATACAATCCAAAAGTAAGGTAATATACAATATAAATTAAAAAGAAAATCCATTAAATTGCTTAAACGTAATATACATATATATATAAAATATGTACCTAATATGTACATATAAAAGATGGGAAAAAACAAACCTATGAAACTATTAACATTTATTATGGAAAGATGTAATTACTAAGAGCTAGAGAAAAATAAATTAAATTGCTCAAAAAAAAATTAAGAATACAAAATTGAATAAATAATGACTGAAGGAAAAAAAAATATTACTTGGATGAAAAAAACATTTAAACCAATATTACTCAGGTATCGTGTTAAACAAATAATCTGATGTGCCTAACAGCGAAGTGGCTTACCTTCTTGATATGTTAATTAATTTCTTGAAAAAATAAATATGGATTTTCAATATTCAAATTTGAATATCGATGTTAAAAAAAACTTAAACAAAGATATTAACACATTTAAAAAAAGTACTGCTATGTCGATATTTTACCAAAATCCTTGATTGAAAAATGCTTTTGAAGATAATTTATTGACATATAGTAGAAGTATCAAGTTAAAATATTGAAGCGTTGCGAGGTAAGGAGATGAAATAAAAATAATTCTATAACAAGTGACAGTTGAGTTACAGGAGGCGTAAGGCGGAAGTTGTAGCCTATGGTTGGTTTGAAGGGAGTTCAGAAGAGAGGAAGCCGGGCTAATTAACATTTCTTCCTCAAACAATCCGTCACGTTAAGAATGTTTAGGATCATACATTTTATTTGTGGCTCTTACGTGTATTCTAGCATCACTAATTTCATTTGTCCTCGTCTAATTATTGAGTACTGCTATGTTTCTGACTATCCGTTTATCTAAGGAGGATCTATTTTAAAATATGCTAATTACACATTTAATATAAAAAAGGAATGAATAAATACCACAGACCGTCCTGCTGTAGTATACTAGATTGATTTACATTTCAAGTCAGATAACCTTTTCAAGAGTATTATAATACCAATTTACTATTCCATCTATACGTCCAAAAAGTGGCATACAGAGAAAAATGCTAATAATCCAGATCTAATAAAAAAGGGATCTATTAATACTTTTAAACATCATAAATACATTTTGATGAGAATGATTTGTATATGAATAGTGACTCTATTATTTTGTATAGTTTCCAACACCGATTTACAATGGTAATATCTAAATGATTACAACATCATCTAACAAAACTAAACGACTGGTGCAAACTCTGGAAAATTCGACTCAACCAAGACAAATCAGAACACATCACTTTTACTCTTCGACATGGGACATGCCCTCCTATTTACCATGACAATGCCGAAATTCCTCAAACAGATAAAATACAATATCTTGGACTGACATTCGACAGAAGAATGACATGGGGTCTACATATCAACAAAAAAAGAAAGACATTAAACCTCAGACTACTACTGTTATACTCACTTCTCTCAAGACGCTCAAAATTAACCCTAAAACAAAAACTGAACACTTACAATTATCTACTTAAGCCCATATGGACCTACGCTTCACAAATTTACGGAACAGCCAAAACGATCTACATACGAAAACTACAAACTTTTCAGAGTAAAACTAAAATAACCAAAGCTCCATGGTACGTCACAAACATTACACTGCATAAAGACCTTCAAATGCCAACAGTTAACGATCACATACGGACACACTACAAGCGATTTCACAATAACTTACATGGACATACTAACACACTTATACAAGGTATGGCTATATTTAACATGCCCGAAAACACTCTTAGGAGACTCAAAAGGAGCTGGATGAGGGATTTCTTCACTTAAAAATATGCTAAAATCAAGACAGGAAAGGATGCCGCTGGGTACTCCTCTCCATCACGCCGATCAAGCCACTACCTGTAAACTTACCGACAGCAGACCCGCTAATTGTCATTGTTTATGACAGGTGTGGGTGAATAAATAAAGTTAAAAAAAAAAATATCTAAATGAACATTATGACTTAGCTGGTTATATTGTTGAGATTTCAGTAATTTCCTTATCCTTGTTCTTGGTGCCCCTGATATTCTCTCGACTGTTTCCAACTCCTCTCAAGAGGATCTATAGCCGACTTCCCCTCTCTCAGAAAGCCTCCTATTCAAGGGACCTACTTATACTGTTTTCCCTAAATGACCATCTTTTTCTCTACAAAAATATTTTCATTTAATTTTTAAGTTTTCTGATTGTACGAATATTTGTTGTTGGTCGGGACTAACCCTTCTACCATTCTGTAGACGTTACCATTAGAATTCTATAATTCATCGGGCTTTCTTTTGAGCATTCAATAGGGAATACCGTATCTTTATTACTCTCTAAACGAATCGCCGCACACTGGGACGAGCTAAGGCTACGGTTGGACATAGGGTTTGGGAGAAAAAAAAACAAAACTTACTATTTGGAAGTTTAGCTGCATTAGTGACAAACTAATATGGTTTCTCATTCTTGTCCAGTAATTTTTAACTTAATTACCGCATTAATAATGCCCTGATGTGAGATAATAGGAGAAAAAATGATAACCATTTTTTTTATACTTAGAGCTGGTACATTTACTTAGGAATGCCTTTCTCTGATACTGGCTTATTTTATAGAGCCACTAAATACTTTCAATCGAAGACAAGGGCAGTAACAGGATCTGTTATTTCAATTTGTGCTAAATCAAAGCTGAGAACGTGGGATAGCAGAATAAAAGTAAATGATTCAATTGTAATTAGTATCTTTCACTATAATGTTCAACTATGGGGTCTCAGGTACATTGATAAGCTAGAAAGCGTAAGCTTAAACTTTTATAAACCTTTATTCTCTCTAAATAAAAATTATCCCTTTTGGTTAATGAGATCGGAATTTAAAATACTTCATTACTCAGTTGCGATACTGAAATTGGCGCTGTCTTGGGTCTTAAAAATGGAAAATGATTGATTGTCTAAAATTTATTTTAATAAATTAAAAGAAATACATATTAGTGGCAAAGGGAGTCATAAATTGAATTGGTTCAATTAGTTACACTCTCTGCTGTGCTCTGTAAATAAACAGTTCATTCTGGAATTAGAAGACGCAGGTCTATGGGTCTAATCCAGAAGTGTGGGCGGAGTGGCCGAATGGGCTAACGCGTGTGCACTGCACCACCGTTGCCCGGCAACCGGATATATGATTCTATGATATGAAAATAGTCACGAGTTCCCGTCCCGGTGCCAGAGGGGATTTTAAATTCCCCGCCCTCACCCTCTGGTCCGGGAAAATCCCGTATAGCCTAAAAGGCTAGGTAGGGAAGAACAGAAAAAAAGAAAAAAAAAAGGTGAATTCCAGCTAGAGATGAAAGAAACAATAAGCCTGTTTAAAAGCCATATAGAGGAACTTTATAAACAAAAACTGATTACCAGTACTAGGTACAGCCCAATGTATCCCAATACGTATATAGCGAGTGATAAGTATCAGCCTTATCTCGTATTAAATGCCCCGTTTCATATGACGAAAATACTAACACAGATTAGGTTATCTGTGAAACTATAATATTAAATTAACGTTTAATAATAATTATTACTATTTCAAGCCAAAAGAAATTTGCACACTTTGTAACCTAAATGAACCTTTTTCATATTTTTGTCCGGTGTCCGATTTATACTCACTTCCGCTAACACTTCCTACCTCATTCCATTAACATGACCAGGACAAATTATTTGGAATTATTCAAAATTTACAATGAAGTCTTCCTCAAGAATCTGTTTTATTAAACGAGACAATGTTGCAGATTGAGATCCTTTATTTTCAATGAATAATAAATTTAATATATATAAATGAATAATAAATGAATAATATATATATATATATATATATATATATATATATATATTT